AGTGAGATTAATAAAGGGAACTACGTTGAATCATGATTCGATCCTCAATCTTAATTTCTTATATTTGGTTAGATCATATGGGTCATCCGAATTTGGTAATTCTTGTGGTATCTAGCCTCCAAAATTGAACATAACGTTGAATTTTGCTTTCACTAAAGCTGTGGCACGGCATGATTGGGAACATATTCTAAAGCAGCGCATGACCACCAAAAAAGAGAAGAAAAAAAAGAGGGAACTTCAGGAGGAAAACCCAGTAAAAGCCCTACCCCAAGAACATTCAAAGATTAAAAAAAGAAATGGCCCTAAATTTCTTTCTCAAAGGTCTTTAATTTATAATAGTATTCCAGTTTGTGACAACCCACAAGTGCATGTGAGGAGAGACTGTTTAATGGGAAGAAGGGGGGCATGGCGATTGTTTCAGTTGCCTCATGTAATTACACATAATTAGGTCCAAATTTGGAATGTAAAATCATTTTGTGTGTGAATATACTTTTATTCATCTAAAAAGTGATTGTATTCTATTAAAGTAAATTATTTGGAAGAAAATCTACCGCAGTGCCACGTGGCATTTCTTTTGGTATGATATGCCTTGTGAAAGAATGACCCCCTAATTTGATTAAGGGCCTATTTGCTATAATTGTTGAAATTTAGTGGATAATAAGCAGTGGGTACGTAACGGACAATGGATAACGGATAACGGATAACGGATGAGGGATAGTGATGGTAGGTAGTTTGTGGCGGTTAGTGGATAGTGAGTAATAGATAATAGAAAGTTGATAGTAGATAGTGAATAATAACTAGCAGATTCAATTAATATAACTATTCAATTATATAACAGTAAGTGATTGTTATTTAAAATTAAATGATTAATAAAGATATATTTATAAACAATTAAGTGTATTTTTTATATTTTTATTATTAAAATTATTAATTTTATAAAATAATAATAAATAAATAAATAAATTATAATAGTATAATCATACACTAATTTTTATTTTTAATAAAGAAAAAATTATATTAGTTTTAAATAAAATACAACAAAATTTTAATCTTTTTGTCTAATTAGCAAAATTTGTTTATTAAACTAATATTTTTTTATGATAAATTAATGTAAAAATAAAAATATAATAATTACTTAATATTATTAAAGACAAAAAAATAAAGTTGAACTTAATTAGATAGGTACTAATTAAAAACCGTTGTAAAAAATTAGATAATTAAAAATGATAAATTTGTCAATAAAATTAAAAAATTTCGATCCATTACTAGTTTGGTACAAAGATTTTCTTTAGGTAGCTTTTTTAATCCGCTAACAATTTGGATCATAACCGCTCTCCGCTAGTGCCAAATTACTAAATAAAAATTTTTATCAAACACCTAGTTTGTAATGGTTTTGAAATAAATAAGTTTACCAAACACTTATTCTTAACAATTTAGGCAAAACCGCTAATTACTATCTCTAAACCACTATACCAAATGGGTCATAAATCTTGCTTCAAAAACAAATATGTACTGATCTAAACAATTCATGCATTATTTTTGGACCTTTATATGATATCATTCTCTTTTCCAAATCATAGAATAATCTAGGGACCTGTTCCTCGTTGAATGATCCTGCTCTCCGGTTCATCGGTTCATTTTTTTGGACCGGTCCTTCTTGGACAAAATCATGCTTAAAATTTATCCTTGCTTTAATTCAAGGCTTACAAATTAATTAATAACCATCCATTTAGTCAAACAATCCTTTGTTCAAATTAATTATAGATGATGCTTTGGGGAAAAAAAAGGAGAAATTAGAGGAGTAGAGGGGAGCCCCTATATTGATACCTTTTTTACACTATTTTATTAAAAAAAAGGTTTTGGGTGGATTGAATTATATAACACTAATCATTAAATAAGGATAAATCCTGATAAATAGGTTTTTTTCCTCAAATAATCCTTGCACTTCAAAGGGCTCTAAAAAGAAGAAATATTGAAATTAATAAAGTTCAATCCCACCAAAAGATTCCCCTTTTTTGTCTACTTAAAGTAGCACATTTTGTTGCCTTTCCACTATTTAGCCAACCAAAGGGGGAGAGGAATGTCATTCAAAACCACATAATTGACTTGTGTTTGGATCAGAAGTTAGAAACCGTAGCCCATCCATATGCTTTCAATGGTGGCATGATTATTCCTATGAATAAGAGAAATGGGAGGAAACCCAATTAGGGTGGTTGAATACAAAAGAGAAAATTGCTAAGAGCTTCTAGTACTAGTAGTGCATTGTTAATGGATTTTCACTAACGCAAGCCCTGGTAAAAATTACTAAATAATTAAAGGGTTTACTTTTTTTAATATTGTTATCTATTAATTTTTCATAAATTTTTTAATGTTAATATGAATAACTTTTTTTAAACAAAAATTAAAATAAATTTCTTAATATGATGTAAGAAAGGTTGACTTACCATACAAAAAAAAAAAAAAAAAGGATTTTCACTAGAGGACACTACAAGAAAACCTTGTATCACCGACTAAATATTACTGACATGAGAGTTTTTGTCGGTCAATAATGATTTTATCGACAAAGAACATGTCTTTGCTGTGTAAAACAGTAAAATTTACATTAATTTATGTTATTTCGAGTACAGATGAAAACTTCGTCGGTAACTTCAGCCTACAGAAACGTGAAGTTTGTCGGTGATGAGGTTTCCTCTTACCGACGAAGCTGGCATCAGAAATTAATACCTCCTGCAACCTGCACCTTCTTGGTAATATTCCAACACCGTTTCTGCTCCAACGGGGCCTGGTGAAGTCAAGGAACCTGTAGCTTTTGTGTGTACCAACTAAAATTTGTCGGTGAAATGCCTTTTCTGCAACCATCATCTCCTCGGTGATGGCTCTGGCGAACCAGCCCTCTGATGTAGTGCAGGAGGTGCTTAGCTTTATCACTTACCACTGTGTAGCTCCTTGGTAAGTGATCAACCTTCCTCCTCATCTCACCGATCCCCCCCCCCTTCCCCTCTCATTTTCGTTTTCCTCTTCTTATAACTATGTTTCCCTTTCCTCCATTATTTCCAGCAAGTCAAATCGTGAGAGATTAAAGTTTTTTCTTCCCACAGTATGTAGATAGAGAAGTGGTAAGTGAAGTATAACTAATATTATTATTTTTTATTTATTTTTCTGTTAAATCTAAATGTTTTATGTATTTTTTATACTTTTTTATAGTTTAGGCATAAAATATTGTGATTAATTTATTTGATATCAACATTGTCAAATTTGTTATTTTTGGTAAATTTTATAGATGTTTAGTAAGAATTTTTCAATAATTTTCCGGTGAAATTCTAATGATTAACGATAAAATTCCGGTGAACTTTCCAACAAGCCTTTTGTCGGTAATGTTGACGGCAGGAACTTGAAATTTTTGCTTTTCACTTGCCAACATAGATTTTGTCAGTAAATGATGGAGGGAACTACAAAATTTTTGCATTTCGACTTTCCAACAAGCATTTCGTCGGTAAACTAAAAGCAAGATTACAAAATTTTTGTATTTTTCTTTTCCCGCTGAAATTTATTTTTTCCCTGTGTATTACATCGATAAAAAAAATTCCAACCAACAGTACATAGGTAAAATGCTCTATATATTATCAGAACAACATAACTTGCTCATTTTTTCTTTCCTTCTTCTTCTTCTTCTTCGTCTTTCTTCTCCTCCCTTATTTGTCTCTCCTCCTTTCTTGTCCATCAAAATGCTATTGAATTTGTTCTTATTCATATGTATGGTATATTCATGTTACTTTTTATTTATATCTTCTCAATTTCTTCTCTTTTTCTATGCTATTCTTTATTTCTAATTGACTAAACATTAATTTGGGCTATTGATTAATTTAATTACAATTCTAATTTTTTTAAATATTGTTTTTGTAGGAAACAATATTATTGCGGCATAAATATTAGGTAAATGAATTTTATTTATGTATATTAAAATTTAATTTCAATTATATTTTGATTATTATTATTTGGTTGAAATTATATATAAATATTATATTAATTTATATTTTATCACTTTTTTTT